GAAGTTGATCTTGGAATATTTTAAGACCTCTAGCCCTACTTCATTGTTCAATGGTCTTAGCCTCATCCTTCTACCAGGTCCTCCATTGTAATTGGTGTCCAGCCTCCAAAACTGCTGTAACCAAATCTCTCGAGTCTGGAGAGATAATTCTATTACAAGTTGACCACAAGTTTAATATTTGCTTCACAAAAGATGAGTGGATGCCATATGAGACTATTGCTTCTTTGAATATCCTCCAATCTAACATTTGCACAGTAGTCCAACCAGCTTGAACACCATTTTGGGGATATCTATCATTTGGCAGTTCCTGTAAGGTTGCTGGATAGATTAAGGTTGGCTGTTTGAAAGCCTTAGGCTGTTTCTCTGTAACCTTATAATGCAATGGTGAGATTGGTTCTCCTTTAAATTCCTCTGTCTGGGTCTGAATATCTCTGTGATCTGCTTTAACAGGTTTTTCTAAAACTTTTATCTTGGCACTCATATTAATCAATTTTTTAATGATAAAACAGAAACGATCAAGCAAATAATATTTATAATTGGCATTATATAAATCCCATCAACATTCATTATCCTCCCATTTAATTGTTCCATTTTCAGGACATCAATTGTATTATCAAACAGAGACTAAATTCCCTCCATTGTAAAAATGCTTCCCATTTTTTAATGTGGGAAAAATCTCTCTCTCTTTTTTAAAACTAATTTCCCCTTTTAAGAAATCCCAGTTGACTCACCAAGTCTGCTGACAATGACAGTTCAGAGGATGGTAAACTGAGGCAGCTACCTAGTGTGGCAGCAGCCCAAGGAGGGGTCCAGCAAAAGTCAGAGGGAAAAAAAACTAAAGTGCCAGCTGTCTACTCGGGGGAACATGTGAAAGCAGCTAACCCCTGTGGTTTTGGGAGCCCAAAACCCTGTGGAGTTTTCTGCAGAGAGGCTGCAACAAAAACCTAGCTGTAGGGATAGCTCTGGCCTGAGCCAGTGACACTGGGTGCCAGATGTTACTCGAATTTCTAAATGGTCTTTTAATTAAAAAACCCAGACCCAGATATTGAGGTAAATGCTGAAAGATCAGAGAGACAAAGGAACAAGCCACAGCTACCTCTTACCTCTAGGACTCCTCAGCCTGGAAAAGTTTTAGTTCTGTCTCCTCACAGACTGGCTTTGCCTTTCCTATGTAGTCCAAGCTGGCCTCACACTCATGATCTTCCTTCCTCAGACTCTAAAGTGATGAGATTACACCTTACGTGGTGAGTTTGTGTTTCATATTATGGTCTGTAAATTAATTTGTGACAAGGGAACAAGATTTGTGGCTGGGTTCTTTTTTTTTTCCATGTTAAAATGTTGATTTCCAGTTGTTTGCTAAAAGGCCATGTTTTCTTCATTTGGTTGTCTTTATTTCAGATTAGTTGGAGGTCAGCTGACTGTGTCTATCTCTACAGGGTTTTTCAGGCTCTCTATTCTGTCTCATTGCTCCTTATTTCTTTCTTTTGATAACACCACGCTGTAGCTCTGGAGTAGGGGTGATTCGGGGTACACCCAGTCTTCCAGTTTTGTTCTCTCCTTCAGTCTTGTCCTGGATATTCTGGGTCCTTTACTTTACACAAGACTGTAGAATCTGTTGACCACCACACAAAATAAAGTGCTAGAGTTTTTACCAGAATGGCAATATCAGGAAGAAATGACTTTTAATATTATTCTTTCTTATTCACGTGCACGGGACTCTGTCCGTTTCTTTAGTTCTTGTTAGCTTCTTTGGAGTTGGTCATTTTCCTCAGACAGAACCTATATATGTTTTGTTTTATTTACACCTAAGCATTTCATTTTCAGAGGATCTAACAGGCATTGGGCTTTTAACTTCAAATTCAGCCCTATTTCTTATAGAAACGTGATGATTTTTGTTGCATTAACATCATATCCCCCAAAACTTAATAAGCTCAGGATCATTTGCTCAACCCATGCCCTGTCCACTCTCTTTAGCTGTCGGTTGTGTCCCGGTATCGGGATGCACCACCCAATATAGGGCTTGAATAATTTAACAACAATAAACGGTTTCTGAGCATTCACTGAATTTAACATCAAATGTGTAACGATCTGGGTGTTTCTGGCTCTGGTCATCCGTGTTGTGTCACAGGCGTTCACTGCAGCCATGGCTCTGCATAACACATGTTGCTCAGTACACGCCACCCGCCACACAGTGTCAGCAAACGTGGCCTGAGACACCTCAGCTCATACTTGAGACTGAGAGACAGGCTCCAGCAACTTTACTGTACATATAAAGTTTCCTGTTCTTAGAGAAATGTAACAGTTCAATTGCAGAAAACAGTAACTTTGACTTCTCCTCCTGTCATTTCTTAGCATAGAAGTATCAAATTAGCATACCACTGCATTGGATTGTTAGCCAGACAAGCTCATCCACCTCATTATTATGTAAACTTGCTTTAGTTTTTTAAAATTTGTCAAGTTATAATATACACCAAAATTGTTTTGAAGTAAACTTGTGATTTATTATCAGTAAATGTTTTATTTTATATTGTTTATATATCCAGCATTGTATAAATATTTCCCAGGCACAGAGGATGAAGAGTCAAGTATAAAGAGTGTTGGGATTAAAGGCGTGTGCCACCACCTGGTAGCATTCTTAATTTCTATCACGATGTGTTTATTCTCTAGAATTTTTTTATCCTTCTTAGATGTTTCATCTCTATGCTTATCTATCTGTTCTTCCACGCTGTCTCAGTTTCTAGAATCCACAGTGTATTTAAATTCATCATCTAATAGCTACAACAATCCTGCCATACCCTAATCTGCTTGTCATGTCTCTTCAGACTACGTGGGACATTTTGTCGTTTGCTTTTCCTTTTCAGCATGTCTTGTATGCTTTTGCTGGAATCCAGACATGATCTACTGAGTGAGCAGAGTTAGGGAAACTGGATCCTTTGTGATGTGGTGGGAAGAAGTCAGAGGAAGGAAGGCATTCTGTTTGTCCTCCCCTGATCAGGTTCCAGCCTTTATACTGACTCTGTGACCCTAAACTACAGACTTCACAAGGGACTCCCAGTTTTTCCCCCACATTGTGTGGGGCATGGGACCTAGAAGGGGATAGAATTAGATTTATTTCCTGTCTGATTTTGTAGTTATTTTTCACTTTTGTTTCCTCCCATGGACATGAAGAGACCAGGATCCTCTCTATATACTGTTCGCAGTCAGAGTTCAGGAGGTTAATCATTTAATAGGCAAAATAGATTTTCCTGAAGATGTTTTTTGTTAAGAACAAGTATACTTTTAGGATGGTTAGTTTTCCTCCTCATGACAAATGTGTGAAGAGATGTTGCCCCAGACTTTACTCTGGGCTGTAGAACTCACTGGAGGGCAGGGTGCCCGCTAGGGTTTTCAGCTCACCAGGACTTGTTCGTCTACACTGAACTAGCAGTGTATCAGTCACATTTTGTTACTGGCGGTACCCATCACTGACTTCTGTGGAAGTTTCTGCTTTGGTAAGCCATGATTCTCCAGATCTGCCTGTTGTTTCTCTAATTTTGAGAGCAATATTTGACCTGTGAATGCACTGAGCAAAGTTGTTGATTTTTTTTTTTCTGAGTTTGTTCAGTTTTTTTATTTATTGTTAAAACGGACTGGTTACTTGGAAATTTTTTTGCTTTCAGGGTATGAAACCACAATATCTCTTTTAGGCAGTAAAGAATGGGTTCGTGAAAAATGAGTAGTGTGGGGTAATCCTGGCGTCGACTTGAGGATGCTGTGGTGGTTTGCGTGAGATGTCCCCTCGGGCTCGGATGTCTGAACACTTGGTCCCCAGTTTGGCTAGGTTAAGATGTGTGGGCTTGCTGGAGAAAGCATGTCACTGGGGGCAGGCTTTGAGGTTTCAAAAACCATACTCCATTCCCAGCCCTTAGCTTCTGTTTGAGCCTCCATGTCTACTGCTGGCTGCCAGGCTTCCCTGCCAGGACAGACTCTTGTCCTCTGTAAGTTGCCTTGGTCACAGTGTTTTATCACAGCAACAGAAATGTGACTGATACAGATGTCTGGATGGCTGCTAGGCCTGTTTCTTGACATGCCTGTAAAGCTGATTCCTGACAAGGCTGGCACGGACCGGTAGACAGAGTGTGGGAATCTGTGTTCAGTGTGGGTTTTCCAGTGGGGGTCCGATGAGACAGCAGCTGAAAAGGGGGAACTGTCTTGGTCTTTGCCCTGGTGAGGTGGGTATCTGTGCGATGACCCTGAAATGCAGCCCTGGAGATAGAGCAGGTAACTGCTCTACCTGCCTATGACCTTGAAGTACATGCCCCTGGGGCGTGGCCTCTCGGCTACCCTTAAGGCCTGAGATGCACACACACAGCTCTCATATCTCCCTCGGGGGCTTGGATGTGGAACTGACTAAGACGGCCGGAACTGCATGAGACTGTGCCCCAACATTCCAGATCCTGTGACAATTCTGTTCTGTACAGTGAGTTTTTCTCCTTTAATAAATTCCTTTGCCCTTTTAGCAGACTCCAAGGATTTCTCGCTTTACCCTAAAGCAAGATGCCCTTGAATATGAGAATCCCACATTCCTCCGTCCTTGGAGACAGGGCTATCTGCAGCCTCCTAGGCCCCTCGGCCTTTGGCCTTACATTAAGAATTGCACCATTGGTCTCCCTTGTTCTGAGGTTTTTGTATTTGAGCTGAACCATGCCAGGTCCCAGACTCTGCAGCTTATAGATGGTCCAGCATAGAAATTCTTGACCTCTAATTGTGTGAGTCTCTTCCTATAATAAATTTTGTCAGCTTGATAAAAGCTAGGGTCATCTGGAAAGAAGGAACTCACCAGAGAACATGCCTCCATCAGACTGGCCTGTAGGCAAGTGTGTGGGATTATTTTCTTGATTAATGATTGATGGGAGAGGGTCCAGCTCACTGTGGGTGGTGCCACCTCTAGGCTGGTGGTCCCAGGCTATACAAAAGAGCAAGCTGAATGACTCATGGGCAGCAAGTCATAAGCAGTATACCTCCATGGTCTCCACTTCAGTTCCTGCCTCCAGGTTCCTGTCTTGAGTTCCTGCCTCGCCTTCCCTCGATGATTGACTGAAACCTGTAATATATAATAAACCATTTCCTCCATAAGTTGCTTATAATTGTGGTCTTTTATCACAGCAACAACAATAAACAAAAAAAAAAGCAAACTAGAACAATCTATAACTACTCTATTGATTACATCTCTCTGGAGAATTCTAACATAAGCAGGTTGATTAACTGGATTGTATGTTGGGTTTTAACAGGAAGATGACCTTGTTAGAAATCATTGTGTAATGGATTTTGGAGCCTAGAAATGTGGGCAGCTCTTATCTGTTCTCACACATCTGGACACTGGCTGGGTAGAAGCTGATCATAGGTAGCCAAGCATGGAACAAATGAAGCAACTTAGATATGACCAATGGGCCTCCTTCCGTCCTCCAACACCGTCTGGACCTGTTTTTCTTCATGTCCATGGGAGGGAACCTAAGTACAAACAGAAACATGTAGACAGCTCTCTAAGGTTCTGTTTGTACAGTGTGCTATAATCTCATTGTTCGAATCAAAGGGTGGGAAGCGGATTCCTCCTGATAGAAACCACAGTTACACAGCCAAGGGCAAGGACACAGGAGGGGGGCACTGGCCAGTGCTATGTCAACTAGACAGAGCTACATCACTGGACAGGAGGAGCCTCAGCGCAGAAAACGCCTCAGCACAATTAGCTTGCAGGCAGGCCTGTAGGGTGTTTTCTTAATCAGTGATTGATGGGGGAGGGCCCAGGCTATAGTGGGTGGTGCCATCCCTGGGCAGGTGATTCTGGGTTCTGTAAGGAAGCAGGCTGAGCGAGCCAGTAAGCAGCACCCCTCCCTGGCCTCTACGTCAGCTCCTACCTCCAGGTTCCTGCCCTGTTTGAGTTCCTGTCTTGACTTCCTTCAATGACGAGCAATGATGTGGAAGCATAAGCCAAATAAGCCCTTTCCTCCCCAAGTTGCTTTTGATAATGGTGTTCGTCACAGCAACAGAAGCCCTAACAAGACAAAGGAGCAAATAATTGGGGCCATAAGTGCAACTGGTCTCCCATACTGGCCCCAGATCTTCTAGTATATGACTCTTGGCAAGGTACCTAGAAGTTGCCATTGGAAAGTACACACCTCATTGCGTGGTTGTCTGATCAAATACAATGGCCTGTAAAACACTGGGCACAGTGCCCGGCCTGTGTAGGAAAGCTACAGGCACTGTACTGGAGAAAGGGGATGAGCTGAGTAATTTGGCACTGTGGGTGTGGGTGGGGTGATGTTGGTGAGGAAGTGTAAGGACAGCTCCTCAGTAACAGATGCCCGAGGACACGGGTAATTAAGACAAAGGTGGCCCCACTGACAGAGAATCTGGGGATCGGTGGCTCCGAGACAGATGACTTGATGTCTGTTACTTCTGGATTTCTAGCCTGTCCCCTGGGAATGTCATGTAAGGGATGAAGAGACACTGTGTTCGATGGCTTTTCCCAGCCCAGCACAAAGAGCTATTTAATTATCACGCAGGCCAGAGTTTTCATTTGGAAAACTGCTGCTGCTTGCCGTTTCTTCTGTGGGGGCATGATCACTGTAATGAAAACACCGAGAGGACTCCCTACCATCCTAATTTCTAGGAGAGACAATTCATCATCTGGGAATGAATGCTGCGGCACACTTTGCCATAACCACAGAGGAGAAGTAAGTTTCTAAATCACAATAGAACATGGGCTACAAGGTGCCAAGGGTCGGGGTGATGGGAGACCACCCCTCATCCCGTGTCTTTAGTTTTTACACAGCTCTGAGCCTAATGGGTGCTCACTTGCACTAAAACAATCACAGGATGCAAACCAGGGAAGTCTCAGGATCCATTAGCACAAGCAATTGCCAACCACACAAAACAGCAAGTTCCCCGTGTACAATGATTTAGTGCAGTGAGACTAGGATAGATAATGAAGGCATTTGTTTATGCCTACTTATGACATTCCTTGTAGGCAAAGGGGGAAGAAAACAGCATTCTATGCCTGCAAAGGCAGCCAGTGCAGGCTCATCAAAAATACGCATTTGCTTTTGTAGTCAAAGAAGGTGAGTTTGCTCCTCCTCACCTCCTGACCTGGACTCCTCTGATATCCATGTAATTTAAATGAGGAAGTTGTTCTAGGGAGTCATCACATTTCAAAGAAGTGACCCTTTTTGAATATTGAAAGAATCCCCAGTGTTTGAGTTCACTCCTGGGCGAGGTGGTGTCACAGAGTTCTTGGGATGCCATCCAGAGAAAGACGACCTTGGAAAGTCGCCAGAGAAGTTGTTTACCTTGTCTTTTTGCTTGTTGTGCAAATGGGTCTCAGCTTTGGTGAGAAAACAAGCACATTTCAAGCTCTGTGGAAGTCAAAATTCCCCACTGCTGTCAAACTCTGACAAAGGAGTTGACTGTTCATTCTTGAGAGGCTTGACTTGCATTGTGGACTTTGTAGCTAAGACTCCTTCCAAACTGACCCCAGGCTGCCATGCTTAGCTTTAATGGGAAGCTGGGCCGAGGCATTTTATTCTGTTACCTCTCCTGAATGACTAGTTCCTCAGAGTTCCCCCATTTATTTATTTGCTCACACCCAACCCCCCCCCAACACACACACACACACACACACACACACACACACACACACACACACACACACCTGCTCTCCACCTTGCTGGCCACAGATCATATTCCAGGTAGTATTCAAGCATGGACTTCCAACCTGTCTGGAGACTCAGACACCTTTACCCTGTCCTGGAGCCACCACTTTCTCATCATGCCCATTGTCCCACACTAGGTCAGGTCTGTTGAGAAAAGTCCTGTCACGTGGCAGACAATCAAAGAAGACTCACTCTTCGTGTTAGGTTTAGCCTCTGGAAACTGGCTTCTATCTTGTGGGCAGAGAGCTCTGGGTATTTTCTCTGCTATTCTGCTGAAAACAGCCTCTTTCCCTTTTATGGCAAAACTGGATCTAAAGAGAGAAGATAGGGTGCCTAGAGAGAGATTAGATTCCTAAACCCCTCAGGTGACTGACTGACCACACCTGTGGATCACACTTGTGGAAGCTTCAGATGAGGAGACCCACACACCAAACCCACCAGTTAGTGGGACGTCATTCTTTCTGGGCCTTCCTTCTAGCCAGGACTCCATCAGTGCCAAGGTCCGGGAAAGCAAGGCAAACTATACTAGTAGTGTTCTGACAGTGGTGATCCTCAGTGGGTTAGCACGAAACCCACAACTCTGTCTCTTTAGCCTCTCCTAAAGCTCCGTTTAAAAAACAATGACTAGAAGCATCAAAAACTTTGTGAAAGACATTGCTCTCAGTAATAATGAATTTGTATACCATTTCTAATATGCCAAAGTAAGTTCACATAAAATAGCACAACCTTTTGTTCAAGATTTTCTGAGGAGCTGGGGAGAGTTTAGTCAGTGAAGTGATTGCCTTGTAAGCGTGAAGACCCAGGCTTGGTCCCAAGACTGACATAAAATGTCATTCTGGTAGTGTGTTCTTGTAATCCCAGCAATGGAGACATGGAGACAGGAGCATCCATGTGGCTTGCTGGTCCATCTTCCTTGGCCTAGTCCAAGTCTCTGTGAGAGAGCTTGTCTCAAAAAAGGGTAAGGTGGTGGCTCCTGTGCAGTGGCCCCTGAGGAGCCTCTGGTCCCCTGCACTCACTCAGAGAGACATGAGTCGTCACACACAGACACACAGACTCTGGTCCCCCGCACTCACTCAGAGAGACATGAGTCGTCACACACAGACACACAGACTCTGGTCCCCTGCACTCACTCAGAGAGACTTGAGTCGTCACACACAGACACACAGACTCACTCGAGACATTTACTTAATGTATGTTAGGTCCTATGGTAACTTTGAGAAGCAAATATGATTATTTTCTCATATCCAGCCCAGAGAGGGTAAAGATTGGATCCCTGCCATGTGGCTACTTGTTTCTCTGTCCTTGCCTACGACCCCTGCTCCCCACCAGATCGCTAAATTTTGACAATCACTATATGAGGGGGCTGGGGTGAGTAAGAGCTATGTTATAGACAGGAAATCAAGGTCACTCATAGACTTGAGCACAGATCAATGAGCAACTGAATTCCAGACTCATGTCTGCTGGACCACAGTGCCCATGATCATGAGAGCATGGCAGTGTCCCTGAGCTTTCATCATTCCAGATGTACGGTTTTATTATGTATCAAGCACTATGTTGAATATATATTCTTTAAGAAGAAAAGAAAGAAAGGAAGGAAGGAAGGAAGGAAGCACTGGAGCCAGAAAGAAGGCTTAGTGGGGACAAGTGTGGAAAGAAGACAACTCTGTCTAGGTCAGAAGAATAATGGTGCCCACTTCAAAGGTGCGGTTGATGATGAGTGAAATTTGAAGGGAGTTAGGATTCCTGCATGCTCATCTGAATGTGTATAGGGGACCCAGTCACTAAGCAGACATACAAACTCCAGCATATCAGTGAAAACTCACAGAGATCCATGTGACTATGATAATCCAAAACACGCTGCTACACAGGAAAAGTTTGCAAGTCAAGTTTTGTCAAGTTCATCAGACATTTGGTACCAGAGCTGATGAAGTCTTTCTCTCGGAATAACCTAGCTGAGATACGGGAATGAGATGACAAATTGTCATCATTTTGCAATTCTTGATAAAATACTAGATTTAACCTGTAAGAGCTGATCACAAAATCACAATAGTAAGGTTGAGAGTGAAGGGACTCATAGAGCACATGGGCAAACGAGTAGATCTCTACAGCAGATCAGTGGCCAAGCAAATGAAAAGCATTATGAGAGAGGCCGAGATGAACAGCTGGTTCAATAAGTCAGGCAGCTTTGAGTACTCATCCAAACAAACAAAATGGAAGGTATATAGAAAGACCTTGAGCATAATCCACATCTAGACATCCTGCTCATACCCACCATTTAGAAGTTTCTATTTATGGCATATTTTATATTTTAAAATAGGAAGTTGAGGGAAAGAATTGGAAGAAACTATGCCTTTGCTTATGTTTTTAAAAACCATCATATGCAAACCATTAAATTATAATTATAGAGGCTGGAGAGATGGATAAGCAGTTAAAAGCAAATACGCTCTTGGAGAGGACCTGAATTCAGTTCCTAGCATCCATGTTAGGCAGCTCACGTCCTCCTGTAACTCCAGCTCCAGGGGGATCCAATGCCTCTAGCCTTCATGGGCACCTGCATTCATATACATATACCTCAAAAATAAAATAAATTGTTAAAGAATAAATTATAACTGTATATTTGCAATTTTTAGGACAACAAAAGTAATAGTCATTTTCTAAAATGCGTACACCACGAAACCCCACTTAAAACCATTCATATTATATGCTTTAGGAAAACAGGCTACTTTTGTGGTAGCCATTTTTAATCTTTTTACTGAAAAGTTCCATGATAAAGTAGGCAACTTAAATTTGGGTTTGTCAGATTTCCTGAAGTGGGACCCCTCGGTAGACCCTCAGGGACCAAGTCCATTCACGTCCTTTCCACCTGTTAGGCCAGAACAGAGGGCCAGCAGATCCTGCTGTCACTCCCATTCCTGTAAAAACATCTTTATAGTGTTGGACTTGAAAACCTCGAAGTCCCAACCATTTGCCCAGCTGCTTGGATATGGGCCCTGCCAGGCCTGGGTCTTCAAGAGGGTCTCCTCAGTTTGGGATGACACCCCTAACTAACCAAAAGAGCTCACAGGACAAGGGAAGTGCTTCTCAGCAGCATGCGTGGCAGCCTCGAGCACTCGAGGGGGTAACCTTAGTGAGCACCAAATATCCATTTCTAATAAGAACACGCTGTCATAATCACTCTCCACGTGATAAATATCCTAGAGATTTTCTCTTTGTTAGGTTAATGCTTTCCCACAAGATAATTTAACTTTAACATTCTCTAAAAAATAATCACACGTTATCAGGCCCGAATATAGTAATATGGTGTTTTTTGTCTTTTTTTTTTTTTATGTTTTGAATCCTGCCTTAAACAAATCCCATCCAAATAAATGCTCCTTTTTTTAGCAGGCACACAAGCTTGCGCTGTTCGCTGTAATCAAGCCCCCAGCTGGCTCACTCTCATATAACAGTATATCTTCTTGATTTCATTTGAGCAAAATTTATCATCCACAAGCAAAGACAGAAAATGTGTGAACGTCTAAAGCTTATGTAAATTAAGAGGCCATGCACGCTGGTCCTAAAAATAGTAGATAATTATAGGCATTTCTTCCCCATACAATAATTATAGGCCTCCTGTCATCTTTTCTAGTCTGTATAAGGTCACAGTAGTATTATACAAAATTTACAGTATATTACAAGTTAAAAACACAATAATTAGCAACTGTGCATCTTCAGCACTGGTGATGAATGTTCACAGTAAAAGTTTAAAAAAAGAGCATTATTTGTTTTATGTGGACAGTACACACTTAAATTTAATCATCAACTCCTGATACCCAATAGGCAATATTCTCTTACTATTATAATGCTATTTGCCAAGTTCACAGTACACCCTTGGGTGGAATTCATCCTTAACGAAGTGACAGGAAGCCAAATCTCTCCCCGTCATCTCAACCAGGTGCACCATATTATTCTGAATTTAATAATTCTGTTGAACATATTGAATGATAATGAGCAAGTTAAGAGAAAGTCCTAAGAATTGTTTTTGACTGTTGTGATCAGTGTCTGATTGGGGGGGGAGGGGAGATCCTCTCACCAAATAATGTGGTCAGCAGTTTGCTTGTACAGAATATTTTTTCCCCTATCGCCTCCCACCCTGATTTTCTTTATACAATTCATTGAGGGGAGACATCACGCTTTAGTGGAAAGAAAAGGCATAATTAACAGAAAGGAGGGTTTCTCTTCGACTTCTCAGCTATTCACATTAACAGGGACAAAGAGCCATGGAGAACGCAGAATGGCAGGATGAGCTATCATTTCTCTTTTGCCGAAGGAAAAAGTCATAGAACCGTGCACACTCATTTCACCTCTACCAGTTCTGTGGTGGGGACGGGAGAGCTACAGGAGATGGCTGCAGAGCCTGGAGCCCTGACTGGGAGCCCTCGCCAAAGCCTGTGTCCCCTAGTCTGCGCGACCGTTCCGCGGCGACCGTTCCACGGCGACCGTTCTGCAGCGACCGTTCTGCAGCGATCATTCCACGGTGATCGCTCCACGGCAACCGTTCCACGGCGATGGTTCCAGGCGACCGTTCCACGGCGACCGCTCCACGTCGATGGCTCCACGTCGATGGCTCCACGTCGATGGCTCCACGTCGATGGCTGTGAGGGCTCTTTTCCCTACTGGCCATCCTGGAATCCAAGATGACCACTGTGAACAGGGACACTCACCCGCAGGCCTGCACCTGCTCAAAAGAGACATAACCTTGAAGACCAGCATGCCCAAGGGAACTAGGAATTAATCAGAGCCAATTGTTTAGCTTTCTATTTCAAGGCGACAGACCGAGAGGCCATCTTTGCCATCCGCCTCGGAAATAGACTGCAGGGCTGGAGACACGGCTCAGTTAATAAAGTGTTTGCCACACCAACGTGGGAACCTGAGTCCAGATCCCCAACACACACACACACACACACACACACACACACACACACACACACACACACACACAGAATTGTGGGAATTGGTTCATGAGATTATAGGGTGGTCTCCCAGATGAAAGACAAAAACACCTGAAACCCAGCAGTTTAATTCAGTCATTTACTATGAAGCCTGAAGTCCAAGTCCACAGGCTCGAGAAACAGGGAAGCCTCTGGTGTTATAAGCCCCGGTTTGAGTCTAAAAGCCCCCAAAACCAAAAGTGCAAATGTATGAGGGCAGGAAAAACAGACATTTCAACTCCCAAAGACTGAACTGGCCCTTCCTCTGCCTTGTTACTTTATTCAGTCCCTCAGTGGACCGGGGTGTGCTCACGCATCCTGCTGAGGACAATGTGTGTGGTTCTTGTTTTACACTTGCTCTGCTGATTCATAAGCTCCTCTCATCAGAAACACTGACTGTGCCATTCAAGGATCTGGTAGAATCCATAAGCAATATGCTTTAGGAGAAAGCATTTGGTAACCCGTGATGCTTACTCACCATTCTCTGTGAAGTCCCCTCAGAGTGACTACTGAGGGGTCGAGGGTGTCGCTCACAGATGAGAATGTGCCGGCCGCAGATGAGGCCCTGGAATGACCAGCATGATCTGTTAATAAAGTCAGGGCAGAACTTCAGCCTGGGGAGCTCTAGCCTGATTCGAAAGTCACCAGCATGACCCCCTTCCATGTATTCCGTTAAATGATTGACCCCTTTTCTCAAGCTGAGCGCTACATTAGGAATTTTTATCGCATTCTCTTGTTCCCTTAATCCTCGCAATCTCATAAAGCTCTAACCATTCACATCTCAGGGATGAGAACACCGAGGTTTCTGTTCTTTTTCACTTCAGCACTCAATCTCACTTTTCCTAGCATTTTCTAACACATGACTAGGTATTTGAAAAGCACAAGCATGTTTATTTACTAACCTAAGGCATGATCCAAGTCAACCAACACTTTAAATCGTTGATGTAGAATGCTTGTGATGGGAAGGATCGAGCACAGTAATGAAAAGGAAAGCAGCAGCAGCAGCAGGGTTGGAGAGACTCAACAGTGAGGAGCGTGGGATGCGCCGCCAGACGACCAGGCTTAGTTCTCGGCACCCACGGGCATCTCACAACCATCTGTAACTCCAGTGCCAGGTACCCAACACCCTTTCTTGTCTTCTGCAAGCACAAAGCACAGACCTAGTGTCCATCTATACAAACATGTAGGGGCTCTTATATACACATAAAAGAAAAAACATTTTAAGAGCAGTAGAGAGACACCTGTCTACTGACTAAGCTTGTTCATTCTTGGTGAAGAATTCCTGTGTAACATAGTGATGAAGTTTTATTCTGTCTTTATAGACCCAAGTACAGATGCCCATGATGAAGTCCATCACTAACTATTATTATTTTTCTTCCTATACTGCTGACACTGAACCAGTGCTCCAGCTACAAAGCTCAGATGCTCTTAAGTTTCTCTGCCATCCGTGGTAATGTCTTAAAACCTCTCTCTCTCAAGATTTAAACCTTAAATAGTCTGCTATTTTCAAACTGCCCCCATAGTTTTTCTGTCACAAGTGACAACACAGTATGATTTAACCATCGTCTTAGTTAGGGTTAGTACGCTGTGATGAAATATCATCACAAAAAGCAACTTGGGGAGGAAGGGGTTTATTTAGCTTATATATCATGAACCACAGGCCTCTGAGGGAAGTCAGGACAGGAACTCAAAGGGGTAAGGATCCTGGAGGCAGGAGCTGATGCAGAGGCCACGGAGGGTGCTGCTTACTTCTTCCTTCCTTCCTTCCTTCCTTCCTTCCTTCCTTCCTTCCTTCCTCCCTTCCTCCCTCCCTCCCTCCCTCCCTCCCTCCCCTCTTTTTCTTTTGGTTATTTTCCAGACAGGGTTTCTCTGTGTAGTTTTGGTGCCTGTCCTGGATCTCGCTCTGTAGACCAGGCTGGGATTGAGGGCGTGTGCCACCGCCTGGCTCAGTCTGCTTTCTTATAGAACCCAGGACTTGTAGGACATTTTCTTAGTGACGGGTGTGAGAGCGCCTGGCCCATTCTGGCACCACCTCCTCTCAGATGACTCTAGCTCGTGTCAAGTTGACCTAAAAACTAGCCAAGACAGCCATTATACTCATTTTTAATAGGGTTAGTTCCACCCCAATTCATTCATCCAATAAGCTTTGCTGTGTACCAGGTGCCATCTGGCTGCTGAGTGGCAGTGATGGGCACAGACTGTGGTGGGGGCGACACTTAATAAATACAAAACCCAAGCTCTCTCAGCTGTCTGTGGTTAGATCTTCCTGTTTGTCTAACGTCGCTGGATAAATTCTCCCAGGGAGCAAGCACTTGTTGTATTTTATAACCTTTTGCACAAGCCCAGAACAGTACCTGCTACATATTTATTGTTGCTAAATATTTACTTGTTGAATAAATGACTGGATAGATGATGTGATCTTGTAAGTCATTTTGATGGGAATTGAGTATTTGAAATAAAACAATATATAACTTAAACTAAACACCACACAGGTTTGGTTTTCTCTGCAGCCTTCTTGGTACCTAAACTATCTGAGAACTGGTCATGAGTGTGCTGGCGGCATTTGATGTCTGCAGACCTGCCTTCTCTCGAGTCCCAGCCAGCTGGTTTCTGCAGAGCATTTTCTGTTGAGTCACAGGCCCTCATTTGCATTGAAAGTGAGAGCTACCTCCTAAAGTCAGTCTAGATGGGACAGATATGTTCTTTTGACTTAATGATATAACATTTTATCAGCCACATAAAGCATGAAATATATGTGTTCGTTTGCTATTTGAGGAGCTTTTCTGATGTGTGTGCAGGAGCCAAGTTAGCTGCTAACTGGTGATCCTTTTCCGACACCCTTCCCCAAGAGTAATGCAAATACAAACACGCTCCATTTGAACAAGACCAGTGACAGCAAACTGCTCGCTGGTCTCTAAAGAGACCACGATAATGTGCACCGAGGGAGAGGCCCATAGTCTGGCAGAGGGCCTTCCCCCCAGTGCAAACCGTAAAACCCATTTCAATAGCCAGAATATGGCAGTTTAAAGTTCATCCCTAGTTAATTACATCCAAAGAGTAATAATAAAATCATCTATTAAATTTTAGAACTTCCTCTTTAAAGTATTAGATATTTGGAAAGTCCAATGCAATTAAATTTCTCTCAGAACAATGCATTTTCTTACTCAAGCTGGCCTATAAGAATGCTCATGGAGCTCTTCGAGTGAGTGAGAAAGTATGTTTGTCTTCTTGTGAACCAATATTTAAATAAACACTTTTTCTGCCAGATTAAATAACTAAAAGAGCAGTAGCTACATTTATGCCATAAGAGGATCTAACTGTGTCACAAATACTTTATAATATTTGACAGTGTACGATATAAATTATGCAAAACTCAAACCAAATGTTTGTTGAGCCCTAGTCCCATGTTTGAGACCTTAACTCAGATGGGGCACTGTCTGGCCTTTGCAGTCCGGTCCCTGATAATGCCAGCCCCGCCACTGGCGAAGCACATGCTGCTCTCTGACACATGCACCTCCTGGGCCAGGGCAGAGACCCGATTCCATAGAGACCACCCAGGAAACACTGACTGGGTTCCGGGCACACTGCTTACTCAGGACTCTGCTTTCTTTGTGTTTTTACTTTCGGATAGAAGGATTGATCTGCCCAGTGGAAGGGAATTCAGAATGTTATCTTTCAAGGCTGAAGACCGTGTCTGCCACCCCAGTATAATCTATCTCGCCTCAATTTCCCATTGAAGAGTCAACTCTCTAAGTCCACAAGCAAAACAGAGCAAAAACTCATTCCCAAAGAGGCACTGGACACACAGGCCATGTGTGCTGGCTCCTCTGAGATCCTGAAGTGGAATGGATAACACGGAACTGTCTCTAAGGGTATAGGTTCAATTTGGGGGACGCTTTACTGAGCAGCTTGGGGAAATGAAGAAATGACATCATGGACAGATCTTCACAGCCACTGGGCAAGTTTCCAGTGATCCTCCAAAGTCAGATGCAAATAAATACCAGAGCATTCTCCTGAGAAAAACAGGGTCTACTAGGGTGTGATTGCAGGGGCCTGCTGCGGCATCCTTGAGAGCAAGACTCAAGGCATTTCTAGGAGTACAGAGTAAAAGCAAATGACCCTTTTGTATTTCACTGTGGGGCCAAATAATGACCAAGCAATCCCAAATGGACTCATAATTATAATTATGCCTTGCTTAACAAAGATAGTGAGTTAAGTAATCCTCTACGCAGGACAGTTCATGGGAAAAGAGAAGAGGGGAATTTGCCTCAAGTAGCCTTAGACCAAATCCTTACTTAAACATTTATTAAAGGTATACTAGATGGCAGGTATGAGGCACACTGGAGAAAGAGATTTACAAAGGAATCTCTGATTTCCATGAATACGATCATCTAGTTGTGTCCACAAATACACGCTCTTCATTTGTGCCAGGTACTATAACAAAGCTAAATCTGGAGAGATGCGGGAGATTCGTACCTTGGCTCCACTCATGGAAGGCTTCACTGAAGAAACACCACTCAGACTTACCTGGTGTTACAGAGGCAGGCATGGAAGAGAGAGCAGTGTTACAGGAAGAAGCATCTTAGGCCAGCTGCAAAGTGATGCATCTCAAGTATCATAGACCTGAAGAAGTTCGCTATGGCTGGAGGATGTAGAGAGGCCAGATGTCTGCAAGGTTTGTGGGAATGTTACAATTGAGTCACAGCAGGGCTTTGTATGCCAAGTGAAGTTGTTTGGACTTGATCCTGTAAGTATCAAAGAAGGACTTTAAATAGATCAGACTGAGCTTTAGCTAGATCATTGGGATGTCAGTCTCATGGTGAATGGACCTACAGGTGGCCAAAGCCGGACACAGATGAATTAGGGAGCTGCTCATTCACTCACCCTGTTCCATTTTGAACATAGGTGAACCCAGACAATGCACTGAGAACTTTCCAGAGGCACCTTGAGAGCTGGATGGCTGGGTGATTATGATGGTGAGGACGGAGTCTGGAAAGACTTAGGGAAACCCGCAAAACATCATTTGTGTAAGCAGTTGAGTGTGGCAAGCATGAGCTATTCTGCTCTTTCCACACTGTTTGCATCCAGAGGTAAGTTCCTGCCTGTCCTTGTTCCTGGGTGGCAAAAATTGTTTACAAAGAAAGTCTAATAAACTCTAAGTTTGAGGAGGTTGCTTGTCCCAGAAGCCCTGAGTCTCTGGACGGAAGTCCTGATGGACTTGAAAGCATGAGCATCTTCAGTGTGAGAAGGTGTCTGCTGCACCTCCCACTGGATCTGAGGCAGAGAAGTGAATGCCTACTTTGATCCCAGTGTTCTTACTCCCTCTTAGGCCCTCTCATACCCCAAACCTTCTCTCTTACCCACACATACACAAGGCAGTTAGTCACACAGTATTTTTATCTACAAACCTGATTCAGTCACCATTGCCCTCCTTTCAGACTTCCTGGCACCCCAAAAGTCCCTGTGAAGTCGCCCCACAGTGTTCCTATCCTCTCTTTCCCTTTGCATTATCTCCATACAATGTTGTTCCTATCCAGCTTCCTTACATTCTTCTTTGCCCCAGTCCTCCTGATAATGTTTCTTTAAGGGCTATTAGCGCCCCTGTGCTGGGCCCAGGCACAGTCCTAGGGGCCTCTGCCAGGTACCAGGTGAACACGTATATTTTCCATCTTATCGGATGGGAAATACTTCTAAAGCCCTTAATGGTTCTGCCCATTTGTGCAGAAGTGATCCTGACCACCTCCAGCCACTAGATTAAAATGAGATGTAAATGGCCTTCACAGTAAAGAATGGTACGGAAATCCCCAGTCTTGCCCATTCAAGGATCTGGCTCTGAGTTCTTGCCAGGCTGAGTGTCCACAATGTACCCCTGGTCTCTTTGTCTCTCTGCATACACATCCTAGCTCACAATTCTGCTGTGCTTTACAAACAGATCCTCAACTCCATCCTAACCCTTCTCTAAAAGTCCCATCTCAAACTTCAATCTTTACCAACCCACCAGAATGAAAACTGAGCCCACTATTTCTAGTGGTTCAGAAGCCTTCTTTATTTTCCTATTTCTCCTATAAGCACCATAGTTCCCCTGCATATGTATCCCCTAATGTTGGCAACCAAATATTTTATAGTCTCTGGATTTCTACAGAGTTTAAGCTAGGAAATTATCTAGTCATCAGTTACTGTTGCCATTTTTCCAATGATCTTGACACTTCTATGTTGTTGGACTTACTTTGGATCACCAGCTCCCAAATAATGACATAGAGACTTCTTATTAATTATGAAAGCTTGGCTTTAGTTTAGGCATTTTCCCCACTAGCTTTTATAACTTAATTAACCCATGTTTTTTTAATCTACATTCTGCCAAGTGGTTCAGTTACCTCTTCTTAGACTTGCTCCAAGTCTGCTGGTGAAATTTGCTGCACCTAGATTCCTTCTCCTCTTCCTCTCTCTCCCTGGGAATCCCACCTACCCTCTCCTGCCCAGCTATTGGACATTTGGCTCTTTATTAAACCAATCAGAAGGCACCTTAACAAAGATATATCTTCACAGTGTACAAAAAGATTATCCCACAACATTTCCCCCTTTTAGTCTAAATAAAAAGGAAGGGTTTTAACTCTAACATAGTAAAAGTAACATATACAATAAGAACAATTATCAGGTAAGAATTACATTAACAATATCCAGTCCATTTGTATTTGGCATATTTGGAAAAAATATTCTATTATCTATCCTATCTTGATGAATCTGAAGTTTTATACCTAAACCACTTTCTATCATAACTTGCATTACCATCCTAAAACTATCTTTTTAAATTAAAATATTTTCTTAGATAAACAACTTAAGCTTTTATATCTCTCAACCTTTATAACCTTTATTTCCCTTTTGTAAGTTTCTTTTTTGAATGTGGTAACAAAGAAAATGGTATAACTATCTAGTCTTCAACCCTCATCAGAATCCAAGAAGGATAAAATATTACCTGAGTAAACAAGAATGCAGAGCAAACAACTTCCAAAACTATAGAAATGACAGAGACATATGGCTGCCTGGACAGTCACCCAAGGTTCCTCTGCAACATTGGGGCATCTATCTTTGGCCTACAGGCCTAGAATATCTAAAAGACTTTTCTATGAAGCAGGCATTTTGAAGGACTGTCCTACCTTGTCTTGGCAAAGTTTAGCAGTCACTTTCTTTTGTGTCCTGCTTGTCCAATTTGGACAGCATACTGTCAGCAGTTGAGGCAAGGGCAGTTTCTTTGCCACATAGAAAACAAACTATGGAGGTTCTTCTATGCCCGTCATTCTTTTGGAAAGTAAATTGGTGCTGCCAAGAGCAGACATGTCTCACTGTCCTGAAAAGCCTTATATTATTAAAACATCTTAAATATCATATTCTGTAGGTCTCTGAAGTATTTTAAGACCACCTATCTATCTAAAATATATCTCTGATTGGCCTTGAAAACATACCTAACATGACTATAAGTTTGATTGTTATAGATGATTAACTACTAACCTGAATTTCCTAATTATCCTAAACAGTTTATAATAATAGCTTTCAAGGACTAGAACTTTACATTACATTTTTTAAGTGAGATGCATAGGTACAATACCTTAAACAAAAGTAGAAACATATATACAGTACATATAACAAAAATAACCTTAGTTTTGTGTCAATATACAAAATCCATACCAATGTAAAATATTTGAGACTAGTAGTTGTTTTTTAGGTTAAAAGTAGATTCAATAACATACCTTTTTATCCTATCACTTCTATATTATATCTCCCCCTTACTCCCTCAGAAAGAGATCCCTGAATCAAATCTCCTTTGCTTAGTTTTCTAAAGTATGACCTATAACAACTTGTAGCCAAGCCCCCTAGATGATGATAAGCACCCATAATCCATTGAATGACCAAAAGTCACCCACCCCACCTCTCAGAAATGTGGGCATCATGTTCTTTAGACCATTTCCTGTTGTCTGGGGTGACAGAATCTTTAGGGGATCTTGAGAAAATTGAGATAATAATCAAGTCCTGTGAGAGCTAACTGTGTCATTTGTTGTCCAGTGTCTGTGTGATGGGGAAGTGTAGAGCTTCTCTAAAGTCCTGGCTAGAGCAGTCTATGAGGCTGGACCATCTCAGCCAGCAGCTTTGAAGTTGTTCTGGATGTAGAACTCTGAGGAAACTGCAACAGAAGAATTCTGAAAGGCTGCATCACTTGGGCTACTTGTCTTCATTGGTGTCTGGTCTTTTTTTCTGAAAACACGCAAACCTTTAAAGGTAACATACATATCTGTATTAATATAAGTATGGAATGTGTGATGTGCCCAAATCAACTAAAAATAATTCTTTTGTTTTATTTTTGAGCAGGTAAAAGGCATCTGTTGATTTTATAAGCCTATTTGGATCATATAACAAACCTTTATCCATGTCATATGAAAGAATGGAATATAATAATAAGTCATGTGGACTCTGTAGCCAATAAGATTTATCATATCTCATCTGGTCTCAAAGCTGTTCCCATGTAGAGGGATATATATATATATATATATATATATATATATATATATATATATATATATCAACTGGCTTGTAAGCTTTTTTTTTCATGTCTGCAGCCAAGATTCTCAGGCAGTCTCCCTCAATCAAATCTTATCTTTATTAATTTTGAAGGAATCCATAGCTTTTTGTTTCCCATGGAAACAAGAGCAAAATTTCTCCCTCAATGCAATATATGTTTTGACTTCCATTTTGAAGTTAAGACATTCTTCAAATATATAGGTTGGTTAAATTTAGCAGTTTTGGTAATCCAATGTCTCTTAGCAGCTTTTGTTTTTTGTTTATTAGCATTTAAAAAATTCACAGTCAACAAAACAACACACAGGACCCAGCCACCCTGTGTATTTCCCATCTTTATGTGGCTTACTTTTTTTTTTTTTATTACTTTACTCTCTCTTTAAAGACTTCATTTTATTATTGTTAAACTGTTTATTTTTTGTGACTGTCTATACCCATTTTCTTCCATTTCTTTGGCTTCTAAGCACATTTTTAAGCACACTGTAATCTGTTCCAAGGTTTCTTGGCCTGGACCTGACTTTAAGCACATCTGCAGCATCTTTTTCACCACCTGAACCAAACCTTAACTTGCTAGGCTCTCCACTGAATAGATAGCTCAGCACATGGCCTGGCGGCTGGCCCTACCCTCTTCAGCCTAAGTGTTCCATCTGCTCCTAACTGTCCCCGCTCTGGGAAGCTGCCGTGTCCACAATGCGGTAGGCGCTTTTACCTAGTATGCTGGCTGCTCAAGTGTCCTGCTGCACAGCAGGGCCTCTTCAAGGAGCCGCATGAGCAGTGAGCCTACTCCAGAGACTGAGGTTGCCAGAAAGCCTTCTCAGGCCTTATGTGAATTTACATGCTGGACATTGGGTGCCAAATGTTGTCAGACTTTCTTTGGATCGCCAGCTCCCAAATAATGACACAAAGACTTCCTATTAATTATGAAAACTTGATCTTTAGTTTTGGCTTGTTTCCAACTAGCTCTTATAACTTAATTAGCCCATATTTTCTAATCTATGTTCTGCCACGTGGCTTGGTTACCTCTTCTCAGTATGGCTGGTCTGACTTTCTCCTAGTCTGCTGGCATAATCCATGTGCCTAGATTCTTCTTCCTCTATCTTCCTGGGAATCCCACCTTTCCTCTCCTGCCTAATTATTGGCCATTCAGCTCTTTATTAAATTAATCAGAAGGCACCTTGACAAAGACATATCCTCACAGTATACAAAAAGATTATCCCACAACACTTCTAGTTTAATTCAATAGCTACCTATTTTGTTCAGTCCCGTGTGTGTTCATCCTATACATCATTCCTTGAAGGCCTCAGGAACATACACAGACTTCTCATTAAAGTCATCTTTTCCAAATATGTAGGCTTAGCCTATGATTTTACCTGGCCTAAATCAGTCTCATGGGTGCTTCCACAGGCAGTTATTGCTGGTCATCAGGTGTCTCTGCTTCTAGGATTGACTGACCATTCATTGGGGAAAGGAAAACAATGAATTAAATAGCATAATCCCAATGGCTAGCCTGGACTTATTCACCACCCTTGTTCAAGGTGTCAAGAAGAAATGTGTAAAAGCCCCAAAAAACAAAGAATTTTCTTCATGTCTTTACCCAAAACATGTTTGTTTCTGTCTTATTGATTAAAATAGATCCTATGGCCAAGTTCATAGTTAGTGTAGGGGATACCACTAGAAGGTGTAGATACAATGCAAAGAAGGAAAGAAAAAGTAGGCATTTTTGCAGTGACTACAATTAGCCAACCTGGGCACCTAATCTACATGATTTTCAATTTGCTGGTATGGGCTCTCCATGGAACACCTGAACGTTTGCCAGGAAGCTCTGGTCAAGGTGTTTGTATTAGTCAGTGACCCAGGAAAGCTCGAGCACATTGCTGAGAGCCAAAGAATGGATGCTCTGAGTCCTGCTCAATCAATCAGGCAAAGTAAATTCTCCCTTTCTTGACCATCTCATTCTAGCCAACGTCCAGCAGACCGGC